CAGCTGCCCCCTCTGCCGGGATCTCTTCCCCCCCAGCTGCCCCCTCTGCCAGGATCCCCCCCAGCTGCCCCCTCTGCCAGGATCCCCTCCCCTCCTCCAGGGCCCCCCTCTGCCAGGATCCCCCCCAGCTGCTCCTCTGCCAGGATCCCATCCCCTCCTCCAGGGCCCCCCTCTGCCAGGATCCACCCCAGCTGCCCCCTCTGCCGGGATCTCTTCCCCCCCAGCTGCTCCTCTGCCAGGATCCCCCCCAGCTGCTCCTCTGCCAGGATCCCATCCCCTCCTCCAGGCCCCCCCTCTGCCAGGATCCACCTGTGACGAAGTGGGACTGTTCTTAATGTTTCCTCTGAATAGTGTGGGGGTGCCTCAGTTTCCCCTAGGCAGTTCTTAAGTATCTAGGGGGTGGGGTAAGGGTGTATGATCATTGCAGAGCCCTAGAGGGCATGTGTGTGCAGGAGTCTGGACACAGAGAATGGCCGACACCCTGTTTCCTGGCAACTGATGGCCTGGGCCCTTCCTCCCCTGCAAGGTGAGAGCTGAAGGGTTGGAGAACAAAGGAATCAGGTGACCTCCTGGCCCGGGAAAGGAACAAAGCCCAGAGGAGGAGGGGCTGGAGGGGTTTTCAGTTTGGGGCTGGCTGGGACATGGAGTGAAGTGCAGACGTGGTTGTCTGGCTCACTGCCCCCCAGAATGGACCCAGCTGAGGGGTCCCGTTCTCTGCACCTGCAAGCTCTGTGTTAGACCATGTTCCTGTCGTCTAATAAACCTTCTGTTTTACTGGCTGGCTGAGAGTCACGTCTGACTGCGAAGTTGGGGTGCAGGACCCTCTGGCTTCCCCAGGAGCCCCGCCTGAGCGGACTCGCTGTGGGAAGCGCACGGAGGGGCAGAGGATGCTGAATGCTCCGAGGTCAGACCCAGGAAGGTGGAAGCTGTGTGAGCTGTGTGTCCTGAAGACAGGCTGCTCACAGAAAGGCGACTGCCCCAGAGTCCTGACTGGCTTCATGGGGAGCAGTTCCAGAGCATCGCCCAGGGACTCCGTGACAACTGGTGGCAGCGGTGGGATGTACTGCACCCCGTGGATGGCGCTTCCTGCAGTAAGTGACTGGGGAGCAGTAACACGAAGGGGGATTGCCGAGGACTAGGCCTGCTGAAGGCTCAGAGAGGAGCGGTTTCGGGGGGCGGTTAACCCCTGGGAGTGTGTGACCAGCGAGAAGGACTGTGCAGTAGCAGGGTTCCCCTGGGGATTGCAGCAAGCAGTCCAAGGGGCGGAGGAGTCTGCAGCTCGACCCTGGCAAAGAGGTGGTGACCTTGAGAAGGGCTGGCACACTAGGGGTTCTCCCTGGAAACCGTGGGGAGCTGAGAACACACGGGCCTGTGAGTCCACAACAACTTGGGAGGAGCGGAGTGATGGCCTGTCACCGTCTCCTTAAGAAGGACATTGTAACCCTGTGCAGAAAGAGAGGGTTGAGCATTGGAAAGTTCACCAAAGCAGAGTTAATCGTGCAGCTGGAGGAGGATGACCGCTCTAAGGAACAGATTCCTGACCCCAACTGGGGCTATAGCAGGATCTGGGAGCAGCTGAAGCGGGAGCCAGGCATCGCCAAGACTCCTGTCCCCGACCAGACGAGGGTCTTCATGATCGGGTTCCCCATCGGGGGATCAAGACGGACGGGATTGCAGCTGAGTCTGAGAGAGCAAGAGGACCGTGGGAGACAGCGAGAGCCCGAGAAAGAGCTGCAGAAGCAGCAGCAGCATGAACTGGCGGTGGTGGGGCGGAGAGGCCTAGGGGACCTCCCCGGGGTGAGTGGGGATAGATCCCGGGGGGCCAGTTCCGCAGGGAACCTCGAGACTAAATTGCTGCCCCTGGTTAAGGAGCGGGGGGGTGTGGATGCCCACCTCACTGCCTTTGAGCAGGCTGGCGATTTGAACCAAGGGGACCCTGCGGAAAAGCCCCGGTGTCTAGCTCCCTTGCTGGGTCCCAAGGCCATAGACTCCGTCAGCCAGGTGGTTGGGGATGTGGACAGGCTCCCACTCCTGACCCCAACCTATATGTCTGTGTGGAGTTTCCTGGGGCCAGGCCCCCCGGACCTCCAGTGGGAGTAGAAGGTGATGGTCAATGGGGAGACATTCTTGGGGTGGCCAAAGGGCATGGGCTGCATAAACCTTCCCACATGCGGCCTGCGAGTGCTATCGACCACCCCTGATCTAAGGGAGGGCGTGAAACTGGAAGGGCCTGGTGTAACTCCTACCAAGGAATGGGAGAGATGCTGGGGCATCCATGGGAACGTTGGTGGCTTCGAACTTCCCCAGGTCACCGGCTAAAGTGACCCCGCTCAGTTCGATCTCGAAGGGGGGAGAGATGTGACGAAGTGGGACTGTTCTTAATGTTTCCTCTGAATAGTGTGGGGGTGCCTCAGTTTCCCCTAGGCAGTTCTTAAGTATCTAGGGGGTGGGGTAAGGGTGTATGATCATTGCAGAGCCCTAGAGGGCATGTGTGTGCAGGAGTCTGGACACAGAGAATGGCCGACACCCTGTTTCCTGGCAACTGATGGCCTGGGCCCTTCCTCCCCTGCAAGGTGAGAGCTGAAGGGTTGGAGAACAAAGGAATCAGGTGACCTCCTGGCCCGGGAAAGGAACAAAGCCCAGAGGAGGAGGGGCTGGAGGGGTTTTCAGTTTGGGGCTGGCTGGGACATGGAGTGAAGTGCAGACGTGGTTGTCTGGCTCACTGTCACGGAGTCCCTGGGCGATGCTCTGGAACTGCTCCCCATGAAGCCAGTCAGGACTCTGGGGCAGTCGCCTTTCTGTGAGCAGCCTGTCTTCAGGACACACAGCTCACACAGCTTCCACCTTCCTGGGTCTGACCTCGGAGCATTCAGCATCCTCTGCCCCTCCGTGCGCTTCCCCCAGCGAGTCCGCTCAGGCGGGGCTCCTGGGGAAGCCAGAGGGTCCTGCACCCCAACTTCGCAGTCAGACGTGACTCTCAGCCAGCCAGTAAAACAGAAGGTTTATTAGACGACAGGAACATGGTCTAAAACAGAGCTTGCAGGTGCAGAGAACGGGACCCCTCAGCTGGGTCCATTCTGGGGGGCAGTGAGCCAGACAACCACGTCTGCACTTCACTCCATGTCCCAGCCAGCCCCAAACTGAAACCCCCTCCAGCCCCTCCTCCTCTGGGCTTTGTTCCTTTCCCGGGCCAGGTGGTCACCTGATTCCTTTGTTCTCCAACCCTTTAGCTCTCACCTTGCAGGGGGGGAAGGGCCCAGGCCATCAGTTGCCAGGAAACAGGGTGTCGGCCATTCTCTGTGTCCAGACCCCTGCACACACCTGCCCTCTAGGGCTCTGCAATGATCATACACCCTTACCTCACCGCCTAGATACTTAAGAACTGCATAGGGGAAACTGAGGCACCCCCACAATATTCAGAGGAAACATTAAGAACAGGCCCACTTCGTCACATCTCTCCCCCCTTCGAGATCGAACTGAGCGGGGTCACTTTACCTGGTGACCTGGGGAAGTTTGAAGCCACCAATGTTCCCATGGATGCCCCAGCATCTCTCCCATTCCTTGGTAGGAGTTACACCAGGCCCTTCCAGTTTCACGCCCTCCCTTAGGTCGGGGGTGGTCGATAGCACTAGCAGGCTGCATGTGGGAAGGTTTCTGCAGCCCATGCCCTTTGGCCACCCCAAAACCCCAGGGGGTCAAACTGGGATTGGGTTTTCTCCCAGAGCTCCAGTCTGGAGGGCTGCAATTCGGGCTCTCTTGGTTAAGGGCCCCCATCTTGACCTGGGCCACATACTGTTCACTTACAGAACTAGCATGGAGACATCCCTTTCCCAACAACCTTGTCTCCCCAACAAGCTGGCCAAACACAGCCACTTGGTTATAGGACGGTATACCTTTCTTAACAGCTTTCACTCCATCTGAGACCTTCTCAAAGCTCTCCACACTGGATCTTTCAACAGGAAAGTCAGTGGATCCATTCACAACAGAAAATTTCTGGCTGTTAGGAACTGAAACTTTCTTGATTAAATCATTTTCACACCCTTCAGTTGCAGTAAACTGCTTGCAAAGACTCCATGAGGATTCCTTTCCCCAGGGCTTTTCTATGCAACAATTCACCCCTCCCAGAAATTCTGCTCTTACCCTCTTTACCTAGGGCTTGCTCTAGGGGAACACTTTCCTGAGCAACTACAGACTCTTTCTGGGTCTCCCTTACATCCAGAATCACCTCTGGCCCATCAGGCGGATTCCTACACAATCCCCTTTCAGGCAAACTTACAGACTTCCTAGATAAAAGGTTAGAAGCATTCTCCTTCCCTTTGCCACACACAAGTTCAGGAATCTTTTCCTTCTTGCTACAGGTTTCCACACCCTCAGTAGGTAACACAATCACACACCTTCATGCTCTCCTTGTGCCCTGGCTAGGATCTCACCCTGATTAGACAGAGTTGCTCCACCCTTTCCAACAACACACTAGCAACAGGCAAAAATACAAGCACCAGAATTGTCTGGTCTCGGGATTTTACATAGACACTAACTGGATGTGACCTAGTTACAGGGCCATTCTCCCGAGCAGACACAAACTTAGGACCCTTCCCTTCCTGGGCTTTAGCTGAATCCAGAACCAGCTCTGAGACAACTGCACGACCCTCAACCATCACAGGCTGAAAGGCCCGTTCTGTTTGCTCCACAGACCAAGAAGAGCCGGACACACTTTCTCCTTTACCAGACACACAGGTTGGGATCTCATTCCCTTTGTCCCAGCACACAAGGCTGGTCACAGACAACTGCTTGGAGATCAGGGTAGCTCCCTCCATAGGCAAGTCAATACCCCTGACAGACAGAGACCCATTTCCTTCACTGTCCCAATTCTCCACCCAGCTAACAGGTAAGGTCCAGGGACTCTCATCTTCCACTCTCCTCGCCTTCCCACCCTGCTGACTGGACACAGCCATCAGATCACAAGGCTGCCTAGGCTCATCCAGACTTTTCTTACCAAGCACCTTGCCACTCCCCACAGATCCCCTGCCCTGCCTGTGTCTCCCCCCACTCAGCTGGGGTCTCAGCTCCCACTGTGCTCAGCACTGCCCTTGCTGTCCCAGTGGGGGCAGGCAGCGAGCTCGCTGCTTTCCTCAGTGCATCAGAGCCAGCGAGAGTCCCCGCTCTGGTGTGCAAGGGGGCAGGGAGCATCTCTCTGTCCCACCCAGCCCCAGGGGTCTGGTTACAGGCAGGCAGGTAGCCTGAGCCTAGCGGCTCCTCCCTGCTGCCAGCCAGGTCATCTGCATTTTCACTGACCATTTCCCTCTCCACCGATTGGTTCCCTGGATTCAAATTCAAACCCTTGGCAGTTACAGGAACAGGGCCTGGATCCTGTCCCAAAGAGACACAGTCACCCCACAACAGGGTCTAGCAGCTGGTGTCCTGGGGCACCCCAACGACCAGCCAGCCCCACTCCTCCTGGGTCTGCACAGGGATCTGGGCCATAGGGAAGGCGAGGGGCTTCGTCCCTGGGACCCTCACCCAGCTCACACAGGCCCTCAGCCTCTGAGGCTGCACCACCCAGGGTCTGACACCAGTTCTCTCTGTCTCAGGGTCTGGCCACCCCAGGAATGTCTCCCCATCGACCATCACCTTCCGCTCCCACTGGGGGTCCGAGGGGCCTGGCCCCAGGAAACTCCACACAGATATATAGGTTGGGGTCAGGAGTGGGAGCGTGTCCACCTCCCCACCCATCTGGCTGATGGAGACTATGGCCTTGGGACCCAGCAAGGGAGCTAGACACCGGGGCTTTTCCGCAGGGTCCCCTTGGTTCAAATCGCCAGCCTGCTCAAAGGCAGTGAGGTGGCATCCACACCCCCCCCCCTTAACTAGGGGCAGCAATTTAGTCTCGAGGTTCCCTGCGGAACTGGCCCCCCGGGATCTATCCCCACTCACCCTGGGGAGGTCCCCTAGGCCTCTCCGCCCCACCACCGCCAGTTCATGCTGCTGCTGCTTCTGCAGCTCTTTCTCGGGCTCTCGCTGTCTCCCATGGTCCTCTTGCTCTCTCGGACTCAGCTCCAATCCCGTCCGTCTCGATCCCCCGATGGGGAACCCGATCGTGAAGACCCCCATCTGGTCGGGGACAGGAGTCTTGGCGATGCCTGGCTCCCACTCCAGCTGCTCCCAGATCCTGCTATAGCCCCAGTTGGGGTCAGGAATCTGTTCCTTAGAGCGGTCATCCTCCTCCAGCTGCACGATTAACTCTGCTTTGGTGAACTTTCCAACGCTCAACCCTCTCTTTTTGCACAGGGTTACAATGTCCTTCTCAAGGAGACGGGGACAGGCCATCACTCCGCTCCTCCCAAGTTGTTGTGGACTCACAGGCCCGTGTGTTCTCAGCTCCCCACGGTTTCCAGGGAGAACCCCTAGTGTGCCAGCCCTTCTCGAGGTCACCACCTCTTTGCCAGGGTCGAGCTGCAGACTCCTCCGCCCCTGAGACTGCTCACTGCAGTCCCCAGGGGGACCCCATTACTGCACAGTCCTTCTCGCTGGTCACACACTCCCAGGGGTTAACCGCCCCCGAAACCGCTCCTCTCTGAGCCTTCTGCAGGCCTGGTCCTCGGCAATCCCCCTTCGTGTTACTGCTCCCCAGTCACTTACTGCAGGAAGCGCCATCCACGGGGTGCAGTACATCCCACCGCTGCCACCAGTTGTCACGGAGTCCCTGGGCGATGCTCTGGAACTGCTCCCCATGAAGCCAGTCAGGACTCTGGGGCAGTCGCCTTTCTCTGAGCAGCCTGTCTTCAGGACACACAGCTCACACAGCTTCCACCTTCCTGGGTCTGACCTCGGAGCATTCAGCATCCTCTGCCCCTCCGTGCGCTTCCCCCAGCGAGTCCGCTCAGGCGGGGCTCCTGGGGAAGCCAGAGGGTCCGGCACCCCAACTTCGCAGTCAGACGTGACTCTCAGCCAGCCAGTAAAACAGAAGGTTTATTAGACGACAGGAACATGGTCTAAAACAGAGCTTGCAGGTGCAGAGAACGGGACCCCTCAGCTGGGTCCATTTTGGGGGGCAGTGAGCCAGACAACCACGTCTGCACTTCACTCCATGTCCCAGCCAGCCCCAAACTGAAACCCCCTCCAGCCCCTCCTCCTCTGGGCTTTGTTCCTTTCCCGGGCCAGGTGGTCACCTGATTCCTTTGTTCTCCAACCCTTCAGCTCTCACCTTGCAGGGGGGGAAGGGCCCAGGCCATCAGTTGCCAGGAAACAGGGTGTCGGCCATTCTCTGTGTCCAGACCCCTGCACACACCTGCCCTCTAGGGCTCTGCAATGATCATACACCCTTACCCCACCCCCTAGATACTTAAGAACTGCATAGGGGAAACTGAGGCACCCCCACACTATTCAGAGGAAACATTAAGAACAGGCCCACTTCGTCACACCGTTCTCTGCACCTGCAAGCTCTGTGTTAGACCATGTTCCTGTCGTCTAATAAACCTTCTGTTTTACTGGCTGGCTGAGAGTCACGTCTGACTGCGAAGTTGGGGTGCAGGACCCTCTGGCTTCCCCAGGAGCCCCGCCTGAGCGGACTCGCTGTGGGAAGCGCACGGAGGGGCAGAGGATGCTGAATGCTCCGAGGTCAGACCCAGGAAGGTGGAAGCTGTGTGAGCTGTGTGTCCTGAAGACAGGCTGCTCACAGAAAGGCGACTGCCCCAGAGTCCTGACTGGCTTCATGGGGAGCAGTTCCAGAGCATCGCCCAGGGACTCCGTGACACCACCCCAGCTGCCCCCTCTGCCGGGATCTCTTCCCCCCCAGCTGCTCCATCTGCCAGGATCCCCCCCAGCTGCTCCTCTGCCAGGATCCCATCCCCGCCTCCAGGGCCCCCCTCTGCCAGGATCCCCCCAGCTGCCCCTTCTGCCAGGAGCCCCCCCAGCTGCTCCTCTGCCAGGATCCCCCCAGCTGCTCCTCTGCCAGGATCCCATCCCCTCCTCCAGGCCCCCCCCTCTGCCAGGATCCACCCCAGCTGCCCCTTCTGCCAGGATCCCCCCCAGCTGCTCCTCTGCCAGGATCCCATCCCCTCCTCCAGGCCCCCCCCTCTGCCAGGATCCACCCCAGCTGCCCCCTCTGCCGGGATCTCTTCCCCCCCAGCTGCTCCTCTGCCAGGAGCCCCCCCCCCAGCTGCTCCTCTGCCAGGATCCCATCCCCGCCTCCAGGGCCCCCCTCTGCCAGGATCCCCCCCAGCTGCACCCTCTGCCAGGATCTCCTACCCCATCCTCTCCCCCAAACTGCCCCCTCTGCCAGGATCCCATCCCCTCCTCCAGGGGCCCCCTCTGCCAGGATCCCCTCCCCCCAGCTGCCCCCTTGGCCGGGATCCCCTCCCCCCGGCACTCGTCCCTTTCCCCTGCAGCCAAGCCCTCCGCCACACGTCTGGCCCCGTGCCCCATGGCTGCTCCGTGCCTCAGTTTCCCCACCTGTAATGGGGGCGGGGGGCTGTCACAGGTCCCCGGTGCCGCGGGAGGTCCGGGGAGATAAACCCACCACGGCCCGAGGGCTGCCCCGAGTCTGGGCCCAGCCCCACGGCGCGGCGGGACATCTCCCCGTCGGGCTCCCCGCCCGGCCGCCTCCACCCAGCGACTGATGATGCCGGCAGCGGAGCCGGCTGCCATTGGCCAGGGCCGGCTGGCGGGGGGGTCAGGACAGCGCGACCTGCCTGCGCGGTCCGGAGCCAGAGGGACCCCTGCAGAGCCCAGGGATCCCAGAGAGAGATCTGCCCCCCCAGACCCAGGGATCCTAGAGAGAGATCTGCCCCCCCAGACCCAGAGATCCCAGAGAGAGATCTGCCCCCGCAGACCCAGGGATCCTAGAGAGAGATCTGCCCCCCCAGACCCAGGGATCCCGGATAGAGATCTGCCCCCCCAGACCCAGAGATCCCAGAGAGAGATCTGCCCCCGCAGACCCAGGGATCCTAGAGAGAGATCTGCCCCCCCAGACCCAGGGATCCCGGATAGAGATCTGCCCCCCCAGACCCAGAGATCCCAGAGAGAGATCTGCCCCCCAGACCCAGGGATCCTAGAGAGAGATCTGCCCCCCCAGACCCAGAGATCCCAGAGAGAGATCTGCCCCCCCAGAGCCTGGGAGATCTGCCCCCCCAGACCCAGGAATCCCAGTGACAGCTCTCCTGCAACAGGCCCAGAGATCCCCAGCGCCCCCCACCAAGCCAGGGATCCCGTGGGATCACCCCAAAGCAGCTGGAATCCAGCAGCAGAGACGTCCGACACCCAGGATCCAGAGAGAGCCTCTCCCGGAGCCCCTGGGATCCAGCGATCTCCCCCCGCAGAGCTGGGGATCCCGGAGCAGGGAGAAGGGCCTGTGGGATCCTGAGAGATCCTCCAGGCAGAGATCCCAGAGCGCGCCCGCCGCAGAGCCAGGGAGCTGGAAACTTGCTTCAAGGAGCAGAGACCCGAGACCCCCGCGCCGAGCCGGGGACCCCGCACACAGACCTGCCCTGGCCGGGGACCGAGGGGCCGCCATGAAGCTGGTGCTGTGGCTGCTGTCCATGGCTCTGAGCCACCACGGAGCAGGTGAGGGCGCCCGTCGGTGCCACGGGCCTGGGGGGAGCTTGGGGTCCCTGCCCCCTATAATCCTCTCCGGGGGTCCCCGCTTCAGAAACCGGCCTAGCGACCGTCTGACCACCTGTCCCCAGGGCTGTGCCCCGGGACCAGGACCCATGCTGGAGATGTCAGGCTAGGGCTTAAACCCCATGTCTAACCTTAGGGGACAGTGCCTGTGTGTGGATGGGGGATAACCCCAGTCTGTAGCCCTAGGGGGCTGTGTGTGTGTGTGGGGGGGTATAACCCCAGTCTGTCTGTACCCTTTGGGGGCTGTGTCTGTGTGTGTGTGGGGTATAACCCCAGTCTGTCTGTACCCCTTGGGGGCTGTGTCTGTGTGTGCAGGGGGTATAACCCCAGTCTGTCTGTACCCCTTGGGGGCTGTGTCTGTGTGTGTGTGGGGTATAACCCCAGTCTGTCTGTACCCCTTGGGGGCTGTGTCTGTGTGTGCAGGGGGTATAACCCCAGTCTGTCTGTACCCCTTGGGGGCTGTGTCTGTGTGTCCGGGGGGTATAACCCCAGTCTGTCTGTACCCCCTTGGGGGCTGTGTCTGTGTGTGCAGGGGGTATAACCCCAGTCTGTCTGTACCCCTATGGGCTGTGTGTGTGTGTGGGGGGGGTATAACCCCAGTCTGTCTGTACCCTTTGGGGGCTGTGTGTGTGTGGGGGGGGGTATAACCCCAGTCTGTCTGTACCCCTTGGGGGCTGTGTCTGTGTGTGCAGGGGGTATAACCCCAGTCTGTCTGTACCCCTTGGGGGCTGTGTCTGTGTGTCCGGGGGGTATAACCCCAGTCTGTCTGTACCCCTTGGGGGCTCTGTCTGTGTGTGCAGGGGGTATAACCCCAGTCTGTCTGTACCCCTTGGGGGCTGTGTCTGTGTGTGGGGGGGGTATAACCCCAGCCTGTACCCCTTGGGGGCTGTGTCTGTGTGTGCAGGGGGTATAACCCCAGTCTGTCTGTACCCCTTGGGGGCTGTGTCTGTGTGTGGGGGGGGTATAACCCCAGTCTGTCTGTACCCCTTGGGGGCTGTGTCTGTGTGTCCGGGGGGTATAACCCCAGCCTGTCTGTACCCCTTGGGGGCTGTGTCTGTGTGTGCAGGGGGTATAACCCCAGCCTGTACCCCTTGGGGGCTGTGTCTGTGTGTGGATGGGGTATAACCCCAGTCTGTACCCCTTGGGGGCTGTGTCTGTGTGTGGGGGGGTATAACTCCAGTCTGTCTGTACCCCTGGGGGGAGGAGTGTATCTGTGTGTGTGTGGGGGGGTATAACCCTAGTCTGTACCCCTATGGGCTGTGTGTGGGGTGTGTGGGGGGGTATAACCCCAGTCTCTACTCCTAAGGGACTGTGTCTGTATGTGGATGCGGGTATAACTCCAGTCTGTCTGGACCCCGACAGAGCTGTGTCTGTGTGTCATGTGTGTGTGTGTGTGTGTATATAAACCCCGTGTGTACCCCTAGGGGGCTGTGTCTGTGTGTGTGTGTGTGGGGGGTATAACCCCAGTCTGTAGCCCTAGGGGGCTGTGTGTCTGTGTGTGGAGGGGGGTATAACCCCAGTCTGTCTGTACCCCTTGGGGGCTGTGTCTGTGTGTCCAGGGGGTATAACTCCAGTCTGTCTGTACCCCTTGGGGGCTGTGTCTGTGTGTCCGGGGGGTATAACCCCAGCCTGTCTGTACCCCTTGGGGGCTGTGTCTGTGTGTGCAGGGGGTATAACCCCAGCCTGTACCCCTTGGGGGCTGTGTCTGTGTGTGGATGGGGTATAACCCCAGTCTGTACCCCTTGGGGGCTGTGTCTGTGTGTGGGGGGGTATAACTCCAGTCTGTCTGTACCCCTGGGGGGAG